TTTTATTCAAAGCTAGCCACTACAATTGATATACAAAAGCCGATTGAAGCTTATTTATGAAATTATAAGCAATTAAAGTTCCCATTAAATGAAGCAAGATGCAAATAGAATAAAATCGCTCCGTTTTTGTTATATCGGCACTGCACTTTGTTGCCATCTCGCTTCATCTTATAAGTTAATTAATAATTTTTTTTATTTTTATTTTTCCAAAATCAAATGATGTCTCACAAATATACTAACAATTATATATTTAAGTTATCATATAAAAACTAAATCACCTAATGATTATTCTAATTGGTTATCCTAATTAAAAACTCTTTTTGTTCTAGTGGCCACGAAACAAGCGCATATAGGCAATTATTGAAACGCCTGAGGAAGTCGAAGATCAAACTTCTGTAATCGATGGGTTGAGAACGCGAAATTCGTGCTTTTCAGCTTTTTTTTCTTCTTTTAACCAAGGTGTATAACTTATCAATGAGTCATGCTGAAAGTAGTAGGAGCTTCCTGGCTGCAGACACGCATCTCTACTTACATTCTCGTCGCCGTAGCTTTGCTAGGAATTGGAGCCATAATTCTTAGTGAATTTGGACAGTAAGTTTATTAATTCATTATAAATAATATTATTAATTTTATATATTTATAACATATTTATAAATTTAAGATTAATATAAATTATTTTAAAAAATGGAAAATATAAGTACAATACAAAAAAAGTATACAAATGAAAATATAATTCAAAATATAATTTGAAAGAGAATTTGAAAAATAAGAATATGTAATATTACTATTAAAAATAATAATGTAAAAAAATAATGGCAAAAAATGAAATAAATATGAAAATTTATAAAATATAAATATAAAAATATAGAAAAAATATTTTTAATAAAATTAACTTTAATTGAAAAAAAATTCTTCCTATAAAAAAAAGATGACAATTCTATGTCTATGCATTGCATCTATGTCTTCCAATGCAATTGCAACACATCTCTTCAATGAAATTAAAATTCTTTCAAAGAATGAATATTCTTTCTCGCAAGATTAATATTAACGTATCATAATTTTAATTCTGTTTTATACTTGTAAACATGTAAAACGTATGCAACAAGTTGCAACGTTTGAAAACATCATTTTTCAACAATAATTAGTTATGGGCAAAATTTAATAATTGAAGTTACAAATAAAGTTAGTTCGATAAATTTTTGTTTAAAACATAATAATAATCGCAAATAATTGTAATCCTAAATGGCCAAAATATATGAAAAACAGATAACTATAATAGCTAAATGAGTAAATATTATTCAAATATTTTAATAAGTAATTACATAAAGTAACTTTATCCGAAAATTTTAATTAATTATTTTTTCAACTCTGGTAGTAACGAACTGGATGAGACCGGTCACGATATGGGATCGAGTAACGCGACGTGTGGCTTCTCGAATTCGTTTCTTGCTGCTATCGTAGTACGACTGGTGCACATACTCTGTTTCCGAGGTTCAAATACTTTTGCGTACTCAATATATTTGTTTATCTTGTTTGCCGCGTGCACAACAGATAATACAATTTCGTCGAACAGATAATAAAAGTTACTTTATATATAAGTATATTTATTTTGAAATATGTTCGTCGTTGCTATTTACATTGATTATTATCATTACGTGATATAAATTGGCTTGAACATAGCTTTAAATTAATTTTTTAAATATTATTTTATATATTATTTTTTATTATTTTATTATACATGCTATTTTTTATTTAATTAATTATTGATTTATTATTATCCTTTTATCACGAATGCTTATTATATTCTTATTGATTTTTGATAATTGATTTTAATAATATTTTTGAAAATTAATATAAAAAATAGCATTCATTAATAAAAATTTATTGTGAGATAAACATATATATTATATAAAAACTTAAAAAAATTAAATATTATTAATTTTTTCTCATAACATTTTGATGAGTTATAAAACTATAATTTGTCTCATAATCAATAGTCATTACATATATAAATGTAATATAATTATATTTTAAATTATATTTAATATAATTAATATAATTAAATTTTTGCATATTAACAGTGTCGAACAAGATGGAATCTATTCAGCTACTGTATTATGGAACCGTAAAGGAGGATATCGTATTGACTTCTGGGGCCAAGGCAATGATCTAACTGCTGTGCCATTACATGCAGCTCGAGCTTATTATAAAACTGGAATCTTCGAATATGGGTAGGTCAATGCTATTACATCTATTCATTAGATAAAATTAATAGATCAAATGTGTATACGTATACTATAAATATGAATAAAAAGAAATTCATTAAAGTTCATATAAAAATATTTTATTAATAAATTTTTTTTAATTTCATTATGCGTGAGTAATATATATATATTATAAAATTTATGAGAGAAAAAGAGAGAGAGAGAAAATAACAATTAAAATAATTTTTTAGATGGTCCTATATCGAAATAGAAACATCGTCAAAATATCCAGACACTGTACAGGCTTATGCTGCCGGACTTTTAGAAGGTAGTCTCACTTGGCAATTGATTCATCATCATTGGTACAATACCATAAGACTAGAATGCGAAGCAAAACCTATCGAATGCCAAAAATTAATGCGATATCTTCGAGATAATGCTGCTGTCAATCGTAAACGCGCTGAACTGAAGGAATCTACTGATTCTTTTTGGCATATGGTATACAACTAATCATCATTTTCAATTTAATTTTCATTATAATCAAAAAAATATTTAATATAATACAATTATTGCATATAATGAAATATTGAAAATAATTAAAATTAATTTTTGCTTAGGTACGATTATTTTACGCTCAATTAGATGGTTTAGAAGCTGGTTGGAAATTTGCTGTACGTCGAAGTCGTGTATCGGCCTCATTAGAATCAGAAGATTTTCTCTGGCTTGCCTTAGCTTCTGATTTATCTGGTTTCCAACAAATATTCAATATTTCTGATTCTTTAGTAAGTTCCATGATCTACTTCAAATCGTTTCCAAGAGAAAATTCAGGACCATTAATTGCAATTAGTCATCATACATCAGCATCGTAAGTGAATTATCATCTGATTGTTCAATTTTTATTTAAAAATTTTAAATATAAACTGATGAGTTTTGCATTTTAAGCGACAAGGATAATTATAATAAATGTAGGTATAATTATATAAATAAATTCCATCAAGTATATTCAAATAAACAATTTTTTAAATAATTAAAATTAATACAAATAAATTAAAAATTTATTTTTGATTTTGTAGATATACTCAAATGTTGAGACTTTTAAAAAAATATACATTTGGTTATCATATATTACCTGTAACAAAAACTGCTGCATTAATTCCTAGTCGATCGATTGTGATGTCATCTTATCCTGGAGCATTGTCATCTCGAGATGAATTCTATTTAATAAATGGAGAAAATCGTGAATTGGTTGTTACCGGAACATCTTTATTAGTGACAAATCGAACTGAATGGAGCTTTTTATATCCGGATGATTATGTATGAATTATTATAACTATTATATAATATTTTATATACAAAAATTAATTAATAATGCTAATAATAAAAAATATAGGTAATGCTAACGGTAAGATTAATGGCGGCAAATCGATTAGCAACAAACAGTCAATCTTGGTTTAATACATTGTCCTATCAAAATGGCGGCGCTTCTGCACTTCAATGGATAATCTTCGAACCACGTTCCATGACATTATTATTAGTGGAACAATTACCAAGCATTATTATTCCTATGAATTACACTGAAGAGTTCAAGAAAATCGGTTTTATATCTTATATTGGAATATCAAACTTTAAAAGTACTAATGACATCGTACAACCTGCCAAAAAAAATTTAAATCTCTGGGAAACTCGTTTAACGTGTTTACAAAAAAACATCACTACATTTGAACAGTTTCGAAACATGATGCGTGGATGCAGCCAGGAAGGTTGCACTGCTGTAAACGAAAAGACAGATTATTTGCAAGAATTAATGTTTCGTGGAGATTTAGAGGATGTGCCTATACCATACGGTATTATAGATACAAAGATTTTAACAGTCGATGTAAATGGTTTCAAAGGTTTCGAAGCTATTTCCGGACCATCGCAATCTCGAACACCATTCAAATGGTCACAAAGTTTTCCTAATATTTCACATGTAGGACATCCAGATATTTTCAATTTCGAAAGTGTTACACCAAAATGGGTTTGGATTTAATTGGATTTAATTAATCACATTAAAATTTTATTTGATTGACACTTTTTCAAACTTTTTAAAGATTTTTTAAAAAACTAAAAACTAAATTTTTCATGAATTTTTACCAAATGGATTTTTAGATAGAATTTTTTTACTGTATTATAATATTTAAATATTTTGTAGCTGGCTCATATGTTAGCCACCTATGGTGAAATGTTAAAAAATAAAATAAAATGAAATGAAATTTTATTACATTTTACTAATGTTACTCCAAAATCCTTATTCAAATATTAAGTAAAATTGTATTATCAAATATTTTTCTATAAAATTTAATGCATATGCAAAAAAAATATCTTTGAAGGATTCTAAATTCTAAAATAAAGTAAATTCTAAAATAAATTTAAAAGTTAATATGAAAAAATATTGAAAAAAATTCATCAATATCATATCAGTATCATTTGATTAAAATGAAACTTAGATGTTTCAATAAAAAATTAAAAAAAATAATATATAATATGTATACGTTACTCATAAATATATACTTTAAATATACAAAATAAAAAATATTAAAAATTTTGCTTATTTAATATTATTAAATATTATTTAATATTTAATATTAAATAAATTAATAATAATATATTACATATTATATAAACAATATATTAATAAATTCACTACATATTATGTTGCAAAATTTTAATAGAGTTGTTCATCTCAAACGATATGAATATACTTTTTTTAAATTTTTTATTAGGACGCTCGACTATGTAACAATTGTGTTATTACGATACGGTACTGCTAACGGATCAGCTGATTGTGAGATGTTTTATTCTACCTTCTAAATCGTATTTTATTTTGTGCAAAATTAGATTGTTTATAATGTAAAAAAATATCAGTTGACATTTTTATACATCAACTTTTACTTTTATTTCGATATCTAGAATTAATTTTCTAAAGGTGTTTCAAATTTTTATAAACATTTTATATACATATGTATTTTGTATTTTATGATTTCTAATTCATATGAGAATTTATTAATAGTAATTTCTATAAATTATTTTTATATTTTTAATTTAATAAAAAGACAAATTTAATACTTGTGTGATTATACTATCAAAAATAACTTAAAATGTCAGTAAAATTAGATATGATAGATATATAAATATACAAATTTATGTGAATCACGTTATACAATTTAAAAAAAAGATTATTTTTTAAGTGAAATTAATTTATAACTATGATATATATATATATATATATACATACATACATATGTATATAATATAATGCAAATTTATATAATAAAATATATTTTAAAATTTTATATTTTTTAATTTCATAATGTTTTTGATAATTGTTTATCATAAATATTATTATGATAATGTAAGATATTTGATCATGGAGAATAATGATCAAAAGCAAGTTTCTAATAATAAAAAATTAAATGATATACATGTGAATGAAAATATGGATGACAATTTAATGAAAAAGGTTAGGCTATAGAATTTGTTGTTGTAATATTAATATTTCAAAATTTTTATAAAGACAGTATTCTTTATAAGTTTTCCTATTTAATTTATGATATATTTTATTTAAAATATAAGATATAAAAATTTTCTAATTTTTATATTTAAGAAAATTGGATGTATATTATTACATTATGTAACATTTAAAATTTCTTTATTTATTTTATTTTTTATTCTTAATAATAATAATAATAAATATATATTTTTAAGGTTTTATCTGTCAGAAGTGAAGAAAGCATTCTTCATCAAGTATCAAAAGAAATAAATGATTTTATGAAATCAAATGTATATCCAAGAAGGAATACAGAAGAATTATATATTAATGAAAATAATATTATAAATTATTCAAAACAAAAAGAATTAGAAAAACAAGTTTTAACTGGAGAAATTACACCATTCACAGCAATTGAACAATCTAACTTAACAATAACTAAAGGGTATATGATAATATATAATAATTTTACAAGAAAAAATAATAAAAATTAAATTTAAAATTCTTTTTTAGGATATTTAATAAATCTTCTTGTTTACTTAATCTTGAAAAATATCTTCAACAACAAGCTGAACTTGCTAAACAAAAAAAGCAATTGAAAGAAAATTCAAAAATATTTAAACATAACATTAATCATGTAGTGTCAACTAAAAAACCAAAATTATCAAATACTAGCTTTAAAAAATGCAGAACTTTAAAAAAAATAAAATTCAACATCAATAAAAGGAAGTTAATTTCTGAATTTAAAATAACGAAAAATTTAAATGAAACCAATGATATTAATTATGAAATAAAATCTCACATTGAGAATTCTATCAAAGAAACCAAGCATTCCAAACATGTATTAATTTCTTGCAAAATATCTATAGATAATACTAAAGAAAAATCAATTAAAAATACAACAAACAATAAATATATAGATGTAATAAGTGATTCAGGAAGTGAATATGTACCAAGTGATGAACAAATTGAATCAGGTGAATATTATTACTAGATCAATTCAAAATTTGATATTAAATATTTTAAAATTAGTTTTTTTTATTAAATTCTTTTTATAAATGAAATATATGTTTTTTTTTTAATTTTATAAAAGATGAAGGATCATCATGTAAAAAAAGGAAATCTTTTACAAAATCTGTTCATACAAAAAGAGGTATATATTATGATATATTAAAATTATTTATTATAATATATAATTTTTATTAATAAAAAATTATGTGAATTTTAGTTTTGGATGATGGTGATGAACAGATATATAAACAAAGGATAGAAAAAAATGATTATTCAAAGAATGAACCATTACATAAAATAGATAATTTGTTTAAGGTTCCGCAATCTATATGGAAAAAATTATATAAGTATGAATAATTATAATAATAATTAATATTTTATTTATATATAAATTTATGTATTAATTTTTTTAGATATCAGAAAATCTCTGTACAATGGTTATGGGAATTGCATCTTCGTAGTTTAGGAGGATTATTAGGTGATGAAATGGGTTTGGGAAAGACTGTTCAAGTAATTGCATTTCTTGCAGGATTAGATTGTAGTGAATTATTATCCGATGGTGGAAGGTAAATAATTTTTAGTGACTAATTATTTCAATTTTATTTTTTAATTACAAATTCAGAATCATTCAATACTGTTCCTCAATGGTTTTTTTTTAAAAAACGTTTATAAAATTCAACACTATATACTAAATTCTGACTAAATAATATTTTTCATAAAAATGCAAAAATAAATTCATGCATTAGCATTTGAAGTGTAATTTTTTATATCTAAATAGAAAACATAAAATAAAAAATTTACTAATTAATATTGTAAAATTTGCATTAGTATTTTCTTATTGTTTATAGTAGTATTATATAATAATATATATTGTTTATAATAATTATTATATAAATTCATAATATTTAATTAATAATAAATACTTATTCACAGATTCAGAGGATTAGGACCAACTATCGTTATTTGTCCAGCTACATTAATGGAACAATGGGTAAAACATTTTCATGAATGGTGGCCCCTTCTTAGAATAGTTGTTTTACATCAATCTGGAACTTATAATGGTAAGGATATCATATATATAAAATATAATATTATTTATTATTTTTATAATATTAATAAACATTTTAGGTAATTTGGAATATTTGATAGACTCATTAAAATCTGGTGGTATAATAATTACTTCTTATTCTGGTATGCTTAAACATAAAGACTTACTTGTATCTAATCAATGGCATTATGTTATACTTGATGAAGGCCATAAAATAAGAAATCCACAAGCAAAGGTATATACTTTTTCAATTATATGTTCAGTATAACTGTTCAATTCAATTTTAATTATGAAAGTATTGAAAAATTACATTATTGCAGGTCAGTAAAGCAGTAAAGGAGTTTTCTACACCACATCGACTTTTGTTAACTGGTAGTCCTATGCAAAATTCCTTAAAAGAACTGTGGTCTCTTTTTGATTTTATTCTACCAGGAAAGTTAGGAACTTTACCTGCATTTCTAGAGCATTGTGCAGGTCCTATAACTCGAGGAGGATATGCTAATGCTACACCTCTTCAGGAAGCTACAGCACTTCAGGTTGCTATGATGCTTAGAGATGCTATTACACCATATATGCTCCGAAGGACAAAAAATGATGTACAACATCATGTTAGTTTACCAGAAAAAAACGAACAGGTTTATAACATGTTATATTATTAATTAATATTAATAATTCATAATTTCTTATTTCAATTCACATATATTTTTTTCTAGGTTTTATTTTGTAGTTTAACAGAAGAACAAAAGAAGCTATATAAAAAATATTTATGTTCTACAGATGTTAGTTTCATTTTACATGAAAAAAATAATATAGAAAATGGAAAATATAGAGCTCGTCTTTTAATAGCATTATCAGCGCTCAGAAAAATATGTAACCATCCTGATTTATATCTTTACACAAGTCCAATTGTAAAATTTGAATTTTATATCATATATTGCAATATTATATCATTCATTAGATTTAATTAGACTTTTATTTAGGATTCTGATGAAGACATTGATATATCAAATGAAACATTGGAGAAATTTGGATATTGGAAACGTTCTGGCAAAATGATAGTAGTTCGATCTCTTCTTAAAATTTGGAAGAAACAAGGACACAGAGTACTTCTTTTTACTCAAGGAAGACAAGTAAATAAATTATATAATTATTTATTAAAAAAAACAAATTAAAAAATAATTTATGACCATTTTTGATTTACAGATGATGCATGTTTTAGAATCTTTGGTGCAAAGTGAACAATACACTTATTTAAGAATGGATGGAACTACTCCTATGTCACATCGACAAGAAACAATTCGTTCATTTAATAGAGTGTGTATATTAATAAATAATAAATATAGTTTATTAATATTTTAAGTTAGTTTATAATTTTAAATTTTTCATGTAGGATTCATCATATTTTATTTTCCTATTAACTACACGTGTTGGGGGTTTAGGAGTAAATTTAACAGGAGCAAATCGGGTAGTTATTTATGATCCAGACTGGAATCCAGCAACTGATGCTCAAGCAAGAGAACGTGCATGGAGAATTGGACAAAATAAAAATGTCACTATCTACAGACTTATTACTGCTGGTACTATTGAAGAAAAGGTAAAATAATAATTTTTTTTTTCCTAAACATTTTTTTATTAAATATTAACAATTTAACAACTAAACAAACATTCTCAAACATTTATTTATTTATTTTAATAAAAATGTTTATTTCTGTGAAAAAATTCTATTTTGTTTCAGATTTATCACAGACAAATATTTAAAATACTTCTTTCAAATAAAGTCTTAGAAGATCCACGACAACGTAGATTATTTAAAACTAATGATTTAGTTGAACTTTTTAATTTCAATGAATCTACTGATGATCATTCTAGTGAGTCTGATCAATTATTTCAAGAATCTAGATTAATTCCTTCGATTAATAAATTTTCATCTAATAAAATTGAAAAAATGCAAAAAATGGCAGCCAAACTTAGCAAAAATATAAGTCAAAATGTCCCAAAGTATGTACCTGCGACACAAATAACTGTTTCAAACAATAATTGTTCTTCAAGTTGCTATAATAATAATATTGATCAAAATATTAAAATATGTAAAAATAATTTAACAAAACAAATCATCAAAAATGAAAATATACTTTTTTCTGAAAATCAAAAAAATGATAATAATAAAATTATAGAGAATAAAATTGCAAAAAATATTGAACACAATACAAATAACACGATTAATAAACTAGAAAATAAAAATTATATTTTAACAAACAAGTCAAATTCTAATATTAAAAAAAATGAAACTATTGTACAAAGTGATTCCAATATAACCAAAGTTTCATATAAAAATAATCAAATGATTTTATCCAATGTAAATAAAAATGCATCTTTAAAATTAAATAAGACGCATAAAAAAAAAAATAAGAAAAGTTCAATATCAGAAAATCATACTGCTTCAGCTTTATTTGAAGGAGAACGTATCTCACATTTAATTGGACGACGTCTTGGATGTTCGCTAACAAAAGAATCTAAGTCAATTGAAGATGATCAATATGTTTTAGAAAAGTTATTTGCTAAAGCGAGTAATTGTTGCTTATCATATAAAAAATTTTATTCTTATATAAAATATTTATTCTTATATAGAATAATAAACATATAAAATAATTTTTTCTAGATATAACATCTGCTTTTCAACACGAAACAGTATTATCAAATTCAAAATATAATTCAGATGATAAAAATCCGATGCAACGATTAGCGCGTGAAACAGCGCAAGAAAATATGGATAATATTCGTAAATCTCGGAAATGGTGTTGGAAACCCACATGGAATTCTACATTATTAAAAAATAATTAATTTTTTGTTGTAGGTAATTAATATTTAAATTTAATCTGTTATATGTATATTTTATCAGAAGTTATTTTATTTAATAATTTTGAATTTTCTATTAAACAAGTGGAAAAGAAATTAATATTGATTTAAATTTGTACTCACAGAAAAATAACTGTTTAACAAGAAATGGATATATGTACAATGAACATTTAGAACTTAAAGAATTTTTTCCTAATAATTCATTTTAAAATAATTTTTTATATTTTTGTAATTTTATTTTCTTTAATTTTATAAAAAAAATATTATGTTTATATTTATAATTATTTCTTATTTAAATATTAAATTATTTTTGTACATTAAATATAAATGTATGAATAGTTAGAAACAAGGAAGTTTTTTCATTATGATACTGTCATTCCCTATATTATCTATATATATATATATATACACACATATATACTCAGGCACTTATATGTATAAAAGGTGAATTGAAACTTAAGAAATGTAACGTGTAATATTTTCATGATCAAAAAAATACTACTATTTTTTTAATTAAATTTTTCAAATATTTTTTACTTATGTTACTAACTATAACACTTTGGTGTATATGAATTACTATAATTTATTATTAAGTAATTGTAATTAAGTAATTAAACAATTAAAAAAAATTTGTGAAAATATTTTTTATCGAAAATTTTGTATACTCATGTATATATTAAACATATATGAATATACATATTTATATATTTCACGAGTATATTTAACTTATTAATAAAAGAAATTTCTTCATAAAATATTCTTTTTTACCTTTTTACATTCAATACCTTAGAAATTCTTGAAGTTTAGGACCATTTCTACCTAAAGGATCTTCAGGAAACATAACATAATTCCCTACAAATGTTGGAGTCAATAATCGTTTCTCGATTGTTTCGCGCCATTCAGGTTTTTCATTATATAGATCTCTATATTGATCTAAAGAAACTACAATACCTCCACACATTGTTGCATATTCTAATATAAATCTAGAAATGATAAAAATACTATTATATAAACTAAAATAGTTCATATTATTAAGAAGATAAAATTTACCGATCATCGTAAGGAGTTATCCGTTTACCACCGATAAAACGACTTGGTGTAAAAATTACTATTCCATCTGCATACATCTTTTCAAGTAATGGATGGTTTGTTGATCTCCTATATAATGGTACAAATACTTTTACAATATGACCTCTTTGTCTGAAATAATTTGCAACTATCATAATTCCTTCTTCTGAAAATGTTTTACCATTTTTATGTCTAAAATATTAAATTTATGTTATATATGTGATTAAAATAAATAAATTAATAAATTAAAATAAATTATTAAAAAGTTAAAATTATCATACGCCATAGCTATATTGTTGCCATCAATTACTATTTCCCTTAATTTATTACATGGTTGTGTAGATGATCCAACTGTAGATAATTCAGATCTATATAGTTCAAATCTGGATCCAATATTATTTGTTTTAAATGCAAATGCAGTTTGAGGATTATACAGAATTGGTACTGTACATCTGGTAGATGTAGTAGATGTAGTATATTTATTAAATGTAGTAGGTGTAGTAAATTTAGAATATTTAGTAAGTGTAGTAGATGTAGTAGTAGATATAGCATATTTAGTAAATGTAGTAGATGTAGTAGATGTAGTAGATGTAATAGATGTAGTAGATGTATTAGATATAGAATAATTCAATATTCGTCGTCTAAGATTCCTTAATCTTTGAGGTGTTTTTGGTTTACTCATTATAATGTTTTTACTTATATTATGAGGTTTAGGAAGTTTCAAACCACTTTTACTGAAAGGTAGATAATTAGGATTTTCCATTTCATCTTCTTTTTTTTCTTCATTTTGTGCATCATTTTCTTGAACATTTTTTTTATTTTGCTGTGATATTATTTCCTCGTCACATTCTAAACAACTAAGATTCTTTGGATCTGGAGTACTATCTATCATAAAAATTCTATCATTTTTCTCTTGATCTATAGTTCTTACTTTTTCTTGATCTATAGATGGTGGAGGAGTTCCTGTAGATGACCATACTACAACAATGTCATCTGATCCTTGAGTTATATAATCTGAGACTGGAACTATAAAAATTAAATTACAATAAAAAATATATTGTTTTATAATAATTTTTTACCTCTGTTTTCATCATCTAAATCTACAGTTGTAATTTCTGAATCTTCTGTATCAGATATTAAAAGACAAGATGAATTATTTTCTGATAATGCAACAATATTTTTTTTTCTTCTTTTTCTTGGAGGTTTTTCTATTTCAATTTTTGTTTGATTTAAAATTTCATTTGAATTACTTTGTGTATTTTGCTTATCATTTATTAATATACTTAAAGATCTCTTTTTTGTTTTTCTTTTTTTTTTACAATTATTTTCATCTGCTTTGTTATTTGATTCACTTTCATTATCACTTAAAATAATTATGGTATCTTGTAAAGATTTTTCTTTTGCAGAAGAAATAATGTTTTTTTTATTCCTTGTGATCTGTTTAGTTTTACGAATTAATTTGTTTAATGTTTGTGTTTGTTCTCTTTTTTTGTTGCTATAATTATATAAGGAACTTTTATATTTTTTATTTATATTACATAGGATTTTATTCACATTACATTTTTTTTTACATCATAGATTTTTCCACAAAAATTTTATCTTTTTTTTACGAGTAAAAATTAAAAAAAAATATTATTAAATAAGACTGTTTTGAAAAATTATAACAAAAATAACAATAATCTTTTGTTCAATACATATTAGTATTGTCAATATATATTTAATATATTTATACAAATAATATATTTACTTGCTGATCTTTATAAATAGATAATATGATTTGTGTTAAAAATTGAACTGATAATATATTTTTATGTGTTATTGAACAAGATATTAATCCATAGCTATTTTATAATATTATATAACATTTAAATATGATATTTATGATTATAAAACATTTCTTTTTTATTTTTATTCGTAGAATATGCTAGTTAATTTTTGTGGAAAATTTGACTCTGAATAAATTCTTTTTTTTTTATTACCTTAATTGAATATACTTCAATGGTCTTTCATAGAATGTTCGTTTTACATTTTTTCTTGACTTTTTTATTCCTAAAGGGGTTTTTTTCTTTGTTGACTTTGGAGATACATTACAAATTATAACAGAGTTATTCAAAGTACTCATTTTAAGATTAATACTTTTTTAATATGTCATTCTAAATGTTAACATTTATATTTTATAAATAATGTTATAAACAAAATATGAAACTGTTCCTTAAACAATATAAAAAAATTTGAAATATTCCTTATTAATTATTTAAAAAAAATTGGTCGTAAATTCGCTACTTACGGTTGAAGTATAAAATAAATTAACACTTGTAAATACGTTGATGAAAACTGTTAATAATTATATAAATATATATGTAATCAATATTAAATAATTATTTTAAAATTTTTATTAATTTTGTACATTTTTAATCATTTTTCACGAAATTTTTTATAAATAAAGAAACAATTATATTTTTCTGTCATTAAATATTATTTAACCTCCTATAAACTAACCAGAAAATATCATTAGTACAATACAAAAGTTTAAACAGCTGAAAATTTCCCTATAAAGTATACAATCAATTATATTTGTATAATGAAACTTATTTTATTTTTCTCTTTCTATTCTTTTAATGATTGAAATTTATATTTTTTTATGTTATTCAATTATATAAAATTTAATTTCATAAAAACAATATCTTGTCTTAATATTTCATATATTTATCTTCTCTTATTATGCACCAAAAAAAAAAATTAATAAAAAAAATAAAAAATAGAAACATTATTATATATTATTCGAAATAAAAAAAAATAGAATTATTGTAATTATTATTATATATTATGTTATATGTTATAAATTAATATATTTATACATAGTTATGAAATATTATTACAATTTAAAAACATTAATAATAGATGACAATAAATGTACAATATTAAAATTAGTTATTATTAAAATACTAAAAAAAAATAAGAAAAGAAAAAATATGAAAAGTCGTATGTGAAAAAAATCAAAATTTTCAATTACTTTGTCAATCTAGTAATCTATATATAATGCTTCAAGTGTAGCGCGACAGCAGCAACCAATCCTGATTACAGTAAATCTATAATGCGAAAAAGAAATCGTCGATTGGTCAAAATTATAATAGTGCGGGGGAAGTGAATGTATGTTGGCTGACTCGAACGCGACTACATCCCCGTGCCAGTGAGCAAGTAGTAACGCTATCGTTAGAATTTTGTCTTTTGTTTAATTTCTTTATGTTTATTTTTTCGAAAAGAAGCTGAATTTAAAAATCGTGATATTATTGAAACGAACATCTAATGTTCGAAGATCTAATAGAAAGTACTCTAGCACCGGTTCCATGCTAGATTTTCAGTGTGCAAGTAGTCGAAAGCGTATTCAGGCAGCCTTCAACGTAAACAAAAATGGAGTTAGGGGAGGGAGAAGCTCAAATTTGTCGACTTTGTGGTCAATGTGAAAGTATATACATTGATGTGTTTGGTGAAGAAGGCACGAAACGATTTTTGGGCTTAAAAATTCATACAAGAATCAACATTCTGGTAAGTACAATATAAAAGGTGTGTCATGGGGTCCGGGCCCCAATTGTAGTTAAAGGAGGGGGTTAGAAAAATGGCCGGAGGGGCGTAGAGCATGTAAAGAAAAGATATCTTCTTTTTTTGTTCTTGTTGCATTATATTTTTTAAAAAAGTTTGATTTTTTTAGTTCTATTATAATACGAAATCCATATTAATATTAAGTTCATTTCCTATATCTCACTGTTTATTTATGTATTTATTTTATATGAAATTGTGTAGAACAAAAGATATAATTTAAATTAAATTTAAAGAAACTGAATAAATTTTTTTGTATGTAAATTAATTTTATGATTTAAGCATGTGCAATATTTATAAATGTATAATACTTTATACTTATATGTGTAATTATATGTGTAATTATATAGTATATAAGAATGATTATTTTTATTTAATTATTTATAAATCTAAATATTTCATTTATATTTAAACATTTGACATTAAATATTGATATTTCATTCTATAAAAAACATTTCATTTAAAATTTGTTTAAGAATTTAATATTTTGTAAATATTTCCTTTTTCAATTTGATTAGTGAAGAAATTAATTTAATTTTTAAAATGTTAATTTTTTAATATTCCTTTTAAGAATTTATGTAAGAAAAAATTGTTAATTTAGTTTTTAATGTGTATATAAAAATTAAGTTTTATTATTAAATATTTGTAAATAATTATAAATGTTGTATTATAATTATGATTATAAAAAATTAGAAATATATTGAAATTAGAAATATATAACATTAGAGTGGGTATTAGATTATAAGAATTTTCAAAATGGTGTATCTACAGAGCGGTAGGGTTTGAATTATAATATTCATAATTTTCTTTTCATAAAACACTATAGTTTTTCAAATTTTCAATTAAAAATTATATAGAATCAGATTTTCAATTAAGATTTTTAAAATCACATATATTTAGTATTTAGATATTTTGTTTGAATCGCAGATAGATGAAAGGGATCCTCTGCCCAAGGCGATCTGTGTTCAATGTCTGGGCAAACTCGAATTTGTTTGCGACTTCCAAGAGGAGTGTCTTCGCACCCAACAAGTGTTACGCGATCGATACATTCTACCATCCTTAACAGAGATTGTAAGTTTATATTAAAATTTAATGCATAGCTCTACCGCTCACCTATGATGCTACCAAAACAGTTCATTTCTTTTTTTGAATTTTTAATTATATATATAAAAATACATCATCTGGTATTTTGGTTCATAGAAAATGTTAGAAATAATAAGGAAAATTATTCACAATTTTATTGAATAAATAATATATCTAT